CCATCCCATGCCAACCCATCCCGTGCCCGTTACCTTGGGGCCCTGCCTGCCTGGGTACCCGGGCAGTCCTGGCACGCCGAGTTTTCCCTGGAAAAGAAGGAAAAGGGAGTGAGAGCCTCTGAGGCAGCAGGAATGGGAGATGCCAGGGGCAGGGAGGAGCAGGGCAGGTGGGATTAAACTTTGAGGGAATCCCAGTTGGGAGATGCAGAGTGAGCACTGTAAGTGTGCTGGGAACCAGTTAAGAATGGCTGGGATTTTACTGAAATTTATTTAAATTAACCTTTCCATTTCTCCACTTATTCCCCTCTGATATTTTTATTTAAAAATAACCCCAAAGAGACCAAAGCCTCAATGGGGCTGCCCTAAACCCACCTCCCTCAGGCCTCCCTTCACACAAAACTCCCACAGCTCCTCTTCCCCACTCTGCCCACACCCCTGAGACACCCAAAAATTGTGGGGTTTGGTGCAAAACACGGAATTCCCATCCTGGGCTCACCTTCTCTCCAGCAGGACCAAGAGGACCTGGATCTCCATTGGGGCCAGAGCGACCTTTGGGACCTTCGGGCCCATCCTCACCCCGAGGGCCAGGGGGGCCAATTTCCCCCTGTTAATTACCAGAGAAGTGTTAATTAGACAGGCAGGTCCCAGATCCTGGCTTTGCTGGCAGCAGATATTCCACGGAGCTGCTCTGGGAGAAAGCTGGGCTTCAGCAGGAGCCTCGGGGAGATGAAATTGTGGGTGTGACCAAAATCCCACAAAATTCAGGTGTTATCCACAAAATTCTCCCATCCACACTGGGAACACCTCCACCAAACCAGCCTTCATCACTGTGATTGGAGCCCTCTCACCTTCCTCCCTTTCACCTTCACTGGATGTGCAAAGCAAACCCTGGGAAGTGTTTGAGGGCTGAGCTGGGCAGCTGCAGGGTAATTATGGGAATTATTGGGAAATCTGAGCTGTTGACATGGATTGTGGCAGTGCCAGCTGCAGCACAGGGGACAGCAGTGCCACTGTGTCCCACAGGGAGCAGGAGATGGATCCATGCTGGGAACAGCCTTTTCCTGGCTCACCAGGAGCTCCTGCATTGATTTCTCATTGAGGTCTCAGACTCTCACCCGGTCTCCTTTGATGCCCATGTCACCTTTGAAGCCAGGGAAACCATCTTCACCCTGAAAATGGAGAGGGGAAAAATCACCCAAGGTGTAGAGATGGGGAAAAAAAAAAGAATTAAAGTTTTTTAAGCCTCACTTGTTCAGGGAGGACAAGCTGAGGTCCACACATTGCCTTCTCCAAGTCCTTGGAGTGCACAAGCACCACCAAAAACGCCAAAGAACCCCCACAGTGTCCCCAAATGTGCCCTGCATCCCATCCTGGCTGCAAGGCAGCCCCACAAACAGCCCCAAGGTGAACAACAGCACCTTGGCAGCACTGGGAACCAATTATTTCTGAGGTGGAATTGGTTTTATTCTCGTGAATAAAAGGAGGTTTTGCACCTGCTCCCAGGCAGCCTCCAGGACACTGCAATATTTCCTTCAGCCAGGAAGGTTTTAATTGCAGGTTAATCAATAATGCATCTCATCCTACAGCTCATCCCCAGAGGCAGTGAAGACATTTCCCAGAAAGTTTTAAAGTTGGGAGATCCCAAACTGCTGCTGAGTTTCTGGGGAGGGACAAGAATGAAGGAAAAGTGCTCAGTTCCCTTTTTTCCCTCCCAAGAAAAACCCTTTGTGCAGGAGGAAACCTCCCAGGGAAGATCCTGTGGGATCCATCTACAAAAATGTTCAGAAATTACAGAAACACAACCCAAACTGAACTCACCTTTTCCCCCTTGGTGCCTTTCAAGCCACGAACTCCATCTGCTCCCTTGAGAGAGAAACCAAGGTGTTACCAGGGTAGGGGTAAAGTTTAGAGAGAAGAAATGAAAAATCACCATCAATTGTGGTGATTTCTGATTTCTGTGATGTTTAATTGTATCTCTGCAAGCTCCAGGCCAGAATGGAGAATTCCAGTGACCTGGACACTGCTCCTGCATCTCCTTACCTTGACTCCACGGGGTCCTGGGTAACCAATGGGGCCCTGAGGACCTGGGGGACCCTGAGGGGATGAAATGAAAACAAAGAAAAACACATCAAAAACCAACCCAAAGGCGCACTGATGAGGAGAGAGTGTGGAAAACAAATTTCCTGTTTCCCACACGGGTAGGAATGGCAGCAGCACCTGAAAACTGCCCCAAATAATCCCAAATAGCCCCAAAACAGCCCAGGGAACTGCAGGACCATCACCTGCAGCAGATGGGGTGGCAAAGATCCATCCAACAGGAAAGGGAGGATGAGGAGGGTCAGGATGGAAACAATTTGTTAGAAAGGGCATTGATGCACAAGGTATGATTTGTGGTTTGGGCTGGAGAAAACCAGAGAGGAGGAACATGTTCTGTTCTGTAGGAATGTTCCAGCCTGCTTCCAAAAATATAAATATGGTTTTGGAAATATATGTAATCTATATAAATATAAATATATTATATATAAATATAAATATACATAAATATATAAATGTAAATATAAATTTAATATATAAATGTAAACATTATAAATATAAATGTAAATATATATTTATATATTTATATATAAATATATATTTATATATATTTATATATTTTATATATTTATATATTTATTATATATATAATATTTGTAAATGTATATTATAAATATAAATTTATATAAATATATCATAATTAATACCAAAATTATATATATATATTTTATGTTTAAATTAAACTTTTGGTGATGATCACAGACAGGAGGGACCACCCCCAAACCATTTTGATTTCTCCAGAGGAAAGGTTGGAATTTTCAGCCTCCTGTGACACCAGGGGGACAAACCCAGCTGTGGTTGTGCCCAGCAGCACTCTTGGGCTGAATTCTGACTTTTGACAAGTGCAGTGCTGTCTGAGAGCCTGGCTGCAGCAGGAATGGCAAATCTCCTGGACAGACAGACAGACAGACAGACAGACCAGTGCATAATTCAAAGGCTTTGGCCTCTGGCAATAATCTCAAATATATTGTTAAAGAGCAACTTGGAGGTGGAAAGGGGAAAAAAAAAATTATATTTCCTACATTGCCTGTGCCACAAAGGATATTTATTTGTGTCTGTCAGGAGCAAGGTTGGGTTCTTGGTGTGGGCTGCTCTGCTGGCCAGGAGAGCTGGGAGCAGCTCACAGGACACACCCAGAGATAAAATCTGGGCTCAGCTTTCAGATTTCAGCTGGGTTTGCTTCTCAGCCCCTCTCCTGGCCATGCCTGTGGAGCTCCATCTCCACCCAGCTGCCCTGAGGGATCTGTGGGCACCCACCTGGCTGCCCTTCTCTCCAGGAGGACCTTCCTTGCCAGGGTGACCCTGTGGATAAAAGAGAAAAGAAATGAGAATTTTGGGGTTTAAAGCACATTTATTCTGGGGCTTAGAGCACATTGAATTTTGGGATTTAGAGCACATTTATGTTGGGGTTTAAAGCACATTGAAATTTGAGGTCTAGAGCGCATTGACTTTGGGGTTTAGAGCACATTGACTTTGGGGTTTGGAGCACACCGAATTTGGGGTATAAAGCACATTTATTTTGGGGCTTAGAGCACATTGAATTTTGGGATTTAGAGCACATTTATGTTGGGGTTTAAAGCACATTGAAATTTGAGGTCTAGAGCGCATTGAATTTTGGGGTTTAGAGCACACCGAATTTGGGGTTTAGAGCACATTTATGTTGGGGTTTAAAGCACATTTATGTTGGGTTTAGAGCACATTTAATGCTTTGGTAGATGTGATTGATTTCTCAGAGAGCAGCTGCTCCCCAGCAAGCCCCTACTGCCACAATTGGCTTCCTGAAGCCACTTTGCTTTTCCCAAAGGGAAGAGAGCAGCATTTGGCTCCTTGGTGCTTTTCCACCTGGTTATTTCTAATTTTCCCCTCCAGCACCTCCCAGCAGGGCAGCACGAAGCGTTCTGGAATATTCTCTGCACAGCAGAGCACCTGGGGGAGCTCAGCAGGAAAGCAGCCCAGGGATTGTGATCAGATAAACAGATAAAATCCTGGTGGCAGGGAATCGTGAAGGTCACAAGGTGCCCAGACTGGTCAGGGCCCCTCATTAAGTTTCTGATTTGTGGAGTCCAGAACCAGCTCCCATGAGAAGTGCTCAGCTAACCTGCATCCCTGCTAGCCACAGGCTGGCCAGCATTCCTCTTGGCATTTGATGCTGAATTATTCAGAGTTCCCAAGATGTTCTCATCACCTTTGAGGCCTTTTTCTGGGGTGGCAGGCAGGGAAAATCAAAGTGTGAATTGCCCCAGGTAGAGCTGGAAGGGTCACGGAGAAATGGGAAATGCAGGGAAGAGGTTTTGGGTGGTTTCCCTACAGCTGGATGCAAAATGGAGCTGGGATGGAAAATAACTTTTGGTTTGGTGTGAAAAATGCTTATTTTATGATTGGCTTTTTGCAAATATTCAAATGAATATTATATGTGTTGTGTTAGAAAGTAATGCTGTATTAATTCTCTTAAGCAGTGTGTTAAATGTAGTTTTAG